AAAATGCGGATTTGTTTTAAGGTTCAGTCAGTAGCGAGCCACAGTTCGGTTGCGTGACATCTTGAATATTTGTGTGTCCTCCTGTTGCAAAACCAAGTAACGCAGAGAGATAGAGGACAGCGGCTGCCAAAGCATCGAAACGTGCATGAAACATGTAGCGAGCCATGAAACGAGCTTTTCAAGGCGGGGAGGGGACTTCGGAGTTTGTGAACCACTTACAATCCGCGAAAAGCTGGAATGTGCGAAGTCGCAACAACCACAGAGCTGTTTAAGGAATGAGTTCAAGTTGTCCGTATACCCCCATTTTTCACTGCGGGCACGCTTTACAGTTTGGACCACAGCTGATGATGGGGTGTGCCAGCGCAGCTGCGTTCGGCACGCCGCCAAATCTATTGTGCACTAGTTGTTTAAAGGTGTAGGTGACAACAACTGGTGAAAAACGAATGATACGAGCGATAAGGTACACCCTTGCCCAGAAAAAAAAGAAGAAAAAGAGATTGGCGTTGCGACAAATGCAGCCGCGTGGACACGCCCCATTACTGGCAGCGAATCAGGCTATGCAGTCAGCTTATCCGTAAGTGTGAACGGTCTTTTGTTAGGCGCGTTCAAACTTCCGCGAGGGCTTGGATCGCGCGTTCGACGCTATCGATGCAGTAGAAAGCATGCGCATCGATCGCGCGAACGAAGCGCCGCCGTCGCGAAGTCTGAACGCTGCCTTAATCTTTATTCAGAAGAAGAGTCTCTTTTTGATAGTCTGGGCAATCCTATCTTTTGTTAGTACGTCATAGTTAGTGAATAGGTTGGTTGACATTGTGCGGCACAGATTCGTTTGGGCTTCTCTTTTTTTGCTTTTCTCTCCCATCGGATGAAAGCATTTTCGAATTGCTTAATCCGTTTAGAACTGTTTACCAGAGCGAGTTATCCGCTCACCAACAAAGCAGGACTTTATCTGCATGTTTGAAAGCATCTATCAGCATCTCAATCCGGACTTCCAGCTAAAGAATGTTATAGAAGAGGTTTGATTTTTGATGCAAGAAGTTTTAATGAAAAGTATAAATCAAAGACCGAATTGTAATTGCAGGTGCCAGCGATCTTTCGCGAGCTTGGGTACCCCACCGCTATAAAGCCGAGCACAATGCAAACTATAGGAGCGGCACACTCATGGCCTACGCTACTCGGCGCTCTCACCTGGCTGATCGACGTTGTGAACGTTCGTTTTCAATTAACTGTTTTAGTTTCAGTCCAGCAAATAAAACAAATTATCGCAGTTAATTTTCCTCGAAAGGTTATGATATTACAGAAGAGCATCCAACTTCAAGGCAAAGTTGGGCAAGGAGCTTCTCTTGGGAGGAGATGATTCTAGTGGTACCTTGAAAGCGGTAAGTTTTGGAACTGATAGTGCTCACTGCCGCCATTTTGTATATTCCAGTTTTTTCCTTTTCTTATTTTCTCGTTGCATCTTCTCACCGAGCATTTGAAGGGTGGTAGAATAAGGAAGAGGAAGTAGAGAAGGAATGAAGAAAAATAATTAGAGAGAAAGAAAAGAAAAGAAGGAAGAAGGCTGGTTTGCTTCACAGATATCCTGCGACGCGCTTATCTTGTCGCCCTATGCAGTGTGCAGGTTTGGGCGGAGATATAAGATACATTATGCTATCACAAACCTAATTTTATTGTCGTGTACTGTTGGGTAGTCTGTGTGGTACACTGATAGGGCTGTAGAAATGCTCACATAGCACAAGGGAGACCCTTCACCTCAGGTAGTCGTGCTTGTCTTTGGATTCAGCGGTAGCGATATTAAAAATGACCTGAGATTTCCTGGAATCCATCAATCGCTTTATAGAGATTTTGTGGGTGTAATGAAATCCTTGTAGAGGCCCGGAACTTCCTGCTGTTTCCTCTGAATGGAGAAAAAAGAGCTTTGTTTCTCCCAAAGCAACTGTCCAAGGGTAAACACAGTTCTTTCTGCTATGCTGGGGCGTTCCAGAAGCTGGGTTATGAGGCGCACAGCCTGTTCTTGCTCGCCTGCTAGCTTGCATTGATGAAGGACGGGCGAGATTGCGCAAAATTCATCCCCTAGGACAGCCCCGGTATCAGTAGAAAACGCGGAGGTGAATAATTCTTCCCAGCGAATGATTTTTCTTACATTTGGAGGGAAGAAGTATTCTTTCACATAACTTTCCTTTCAGTATAAGTACAGTTGGCTGAATGCTGGATTCAAGGAATATGTCCAGAATAGAGAAGCGTTCATGGATGAAAGTGCATTTGATAGTTAGTTTCCTACATATTTTTGAAATACATTTATGATTTTCAAGAACTTGTATGATAATATCTTATGTTTTAGATAAAATTCAAGCACTACGGCAGTGGTATGAACAACAGGAAGATTATGACACTCAGAAGAAGACTATACAAGCCAATTTGGAGCAGATCGCTGAGGAGTGCAAAGAGTTAGAAGCTGATGTGAGCATTGCGACCTATGTTGGCTTTTAAAGCTTTTTATAATATTATAAATTGAGTGTTTGTGGTATTTTTCTTTCTGTAGTCCAGGTGAAGGAACATATGCAATTTATATCAAAAAATAAAAGATGAAGTCGCCATACTGATCCCTTTTGGGGATGCGACCACGCAAAGGTCTACGGGGGCCAGCCGGTGTACAAGCCAGTGTTCTTGACCTCCCTTATAAATCTAGTACTGATTTACCACCCTCGGAGGGTCTAACAAAAAGGCGTGGTTGGCCTGGGTGGGACATGACCTCAGACTGCGCGTGTGGTAAGCGGGCCGCTTGCCACTACACCACCTTCACATCGCAGTTCATAACATCGGTAGTGAAATTGTCACATAATTTTGCATAGGTTGTTAAATTGTGCTTTTTGGGCATGAAAACCTGCCAATCTGATTTTCATAGTCTCAAAAATTATTTCTTACCTTTTTTCAGAAAGGGAATATGGAACGTTTACAAGAAGACATTGCACGTCTTGAGGATGATATCGCTAAAGCAACTGAGTATAAGGAGGAAATAAAACAGGATGAAAAGCGCTTGGCTGAACAAATGGTACGTTGAAATGTTGACTGCAGTGGTATTTGTTTGTCCAGCGTGGCCCACTTCTGGGCTATGTGTTTCTTAATTGAAGCAATTTCACTTAAGGATGCTGTGAACCTGGAATTGGAGGCAGTCCGTAAACAAGCTGCGGAACACCACGCTAAACTCGCTGAAGTGGAGAGCGCAATTAAAGCTCAGGAAGAAGGAGACGGGCTGTGTGGAACTGAGGCGCGAGCACTTATTGCAGAGTTGGATCAGGTAGAGAATTGATTAAATTCTCCGACATGCATTTTTAATGGTTTATTGTAAAATTATCTTTGTTTCAAGAATAAACTTACTATACGGAAACTAAAAGCTGAGCTGGAGGATTTGTGCAAGCAGCACTGGTTGGCCGTTCCAAAGACTAAAAGTGCTCTTGCCGAGGTAAGATCCTCCAAAAGTACAGTATCTTACATCAAACATCTTATGTTAGATCTCTTCTCAATTGTAATTTTTCTGCAGCTGCAAGATCGCTATCATAAATTGGTTATGGATATCAGGAGCCTCGCAGCGAACGTCCTTTCTGAAGATGCCGTAATGATTGATGAAAGCCCAAAGGATGCCAGGTAGGTGTGGAATAGGTGTGAACTCATTAGAACATAGGACATATTCTCGCGTTCTTCACAAAGAATCCTGCATCCTGCATTCAGATGCAGAACAGAAAATCTTTATTCCACATGTATTAGTATTGCCGAAAGGACTAGGATGCTACTTGAGCTAAGTTGAGAATATGAGGCGGAGGTAGTGTCAAGTGCCCATTTACCACGAGCGCGGGTCAAATCCCAGACCGGTTTCCGTTGAGGCCAACCAACTATATCCTCGGGGGACGGCAAATCGGTATCAGATTCATCGGGGAGAATAGGAAACCTGGATTTTTCATTGTCCGGCCCACGTAAGTCATTTGTATGCCGTATCGCATTCATAAGCCGTTCTTAAAGGCAGTTGGCGCGGTTGCTGTTTAGGTCATTGGTGGGAGGGCCGAATAGGGTGCGGGGAAGCGCTCTTTCGCAGCCCTTCCACCATTGAAGTTGGCAGTAACCGCCCGCTCAGCGATCGTAGCCATGATATATGTAGAATTCTAGATTTCGAAAAGAGATAGATCTGCTGCTAACTGCTAAAGCTTTGTTCTTCTCCATACAATTAACCTACCATTAGGTGTTCATGCGTCACTAAGAGACTGGGAATTGGTCAAATACTGTGTAATTTACTATTGTTTTACACTCCGTGGCGCAAGGTATGAACGCAGCCGAAGGTGTGAGTGTGAAGACCGCACTAACTATCGTTCTCCCGTCCGTAATTCGTATATTTAGTTTAGAGTCAAGCACAGGTTTGAGAAATTTTTCAGGGCTCTCTATTCTGCCGTGATGAAAGATTGCAAAACTCTCCTAGAGGAAACTGAAGCGAAGTTTCTACAGAGAAAATGGGATCTCGAGCAAATGATAAGACAAGCGAATTCCCAGGCTGAGAACATAAGGTTACATTCCGGTTGTTGATTGGAATACACCGTAGCGGTCTACAAATGTTTTTTTTCCAGGCAAGAGGATGCGGTTATCAGCGGTAAACTTCGTGAGAGGCAACGTATGGAATTAAGAGCCGAACGTCAACGCAAAAGAGATAGGGACGATTGGGAAAAGGATGTAATAGCCGCGGAGACAGAGATAGGTCAGCGCTTCGTCCAGCTTTCACACATTTAGGCTTGCCATCGATGAATCCCTTTTTGGGATGCGGCTCACATTCTACTCCATTCAGAATAGCGCTGGCTTATTGAATGCGATCTAGAGCTTATATAACGACTTGCGGGGCAAACCCCCATAAGTCGGTGTCAGCTACAAATCTTCGTATCCTCTCATTCTGATCTGGTGCCAATTTATCGTTCCCGGAGGATAAAAGTCTGAATAGCCTGACCAGGAAGCGATTCTGGATCTGTCTTCAGTATCGCGCGCGTGGTAAGCTTGCCCCTTCCGACACTCGCGCCCCCTCCCAGTGGCTTGATAAGTGTAAAAATTGCTGGCTCTGATCGTCTATGGTGAATGGGTCCGCAGTCAAAGCAGGGGCCACTTTCTTTGGTCCAAAGTGCACGAGAACAGCCTAGAAGGTACTAGTAATACTAGAGTGCCGTCCTCTATATCCGCCGTGCAACGCGCGTGCGACCACGCGCCTCATTCAATAGCCAAATCAGCTACATTATCTGCGCTTTCTCGGCTGCTGTTACACTCTACCCTGAGTAAGTGTTTCGCCTGCGAGTCCTCGGTATCGACGCAATTGCCGCAGCTCGAGAGTAGCGCAATTAGAGACGGTACTCGAGTATCACTACCCTACAGCCCCCTTTACGCGCAACTTGGACGGAGAAAGTGGCGTGCAGCTGCAGCTGCGGACCCATTCGCCATGCATAGGCCATCGTCCTCCGGGATGAGTGAACAAGTTCTCTTCACCTAAACACTTAAGTACCTAGTAATTAATAAGGTGGTGATGAAAGTAAGTTATTTTAGCGATGATAACGAGCGAATGAGGGTATTCCTCATTCTCTACTCACATTTCACCTTCGAAAAAAAGTTCCAGTACTTGTCAGTAAAAGACCTATGAATTCCAGATCGACTGGAAAATGAAAAAGAAGTCCTGGAAAACAAGCGTCATGAGATCAGCAGCTTGAAAAGGGTAACAATATTTTTTGTGTTCTTATTTTAATTGAAGCCTCCGTGGCAACTGTTACACATTTTAATGGTTTAGCTAACTTGTTTCAGGATCTGGAAATTCTTCGGGCAGAAAACGTCGAATATTCGAAGGTACTAGCTGAGAAGCAGTTGAAGATCAGTGATGCGGTTCTGTCAAGATTCCATGTTATCGTCAAGCGATCTGGACATGATGAAGGTGCCCTAGACAGTTTCCATGGCTCTTTACTTCATTATGGCCCTTCATGGAGAGCTAGATTCATAGGGTTACATGTGACACACCTAAATCATTTGAGGACTTCCCACTTCTCTTTTTTCTTACCTCTCAGGCACGTTAGGTTTTGCAGGAGGCACGGGATTGGATGATGAGAACATTGGAGGAACTTCTCGCTGTGGGCGATCTCATTCCGACTGATTCTCTTCTAGACGAAGGATTTGAAGAACATTAAGTTGGCATAATTTTCTATGTATCTTGGTTTTTTGACGTCAACCTCATACCACCAAGAGTACTACAATAAGCTCAACTGCCGCTGTTGAAAGCGATTAGTCACAGCGTTTTCGAAAAATCGTGCTAAATGAGAGAGATCGCAATGTATGTTTTTTTGAGTGAAAGAAAAATTTCGGTGCGGCGTTGATTCACAGGCTACTCCTTTTGCAGTTCTACAGTTTCTCATGAAATGCTGCTATCTCGTGTAAATTAGTTGATTTGTATTATCTATCACCTCTGTGTTCATTCACTTTTAATTGCTAATTATTTCTATGGTTCATTCCATTATTACATCTGGTTTATGCATGCTTTTACACCAATACCGAGCTAACTAAAATGTGTTCTGGAAGATTGTTGGTTAAATAGGCTTTAAAAAACTGTGTCTGTTACATAACTTGTGTTGTATTACTGTTAGTAAAGATCTGAAGTGTTTTAGTTGCACCATGGATATTCCGAAGTTCCATGTTAACTGGGCTTTCATAAATCGTGAATCTGTTCAGTTTTATCTGCGAGTCTATCAGTTTACCATTTTTTTCTGTAGGTCAGACTTCAGAGCCACCGCTACAGCTTTTTTCGAGGGATATTTTTCAAAATTAACGCTCGTGTTGGCCACCCCACGATTCCTGATTTCTATCCGCTAAACCACCGTGTTGCGCGAGGTGTTGATTGACTGTGCACTTTGTTTCGACTGAGACTTCAACTAGGGAAGAGCTGTAAGTTTGGAGTTCTGGTTTTGGTTGAGAATGCTGACAATGGTATGAGTCCTGCGGTAACGCCAAGATGAGAAAAAGTAGATGTGATAGTCTCGTCACCAACACCTGACTTTCCAATGTGGTCAGAGGCAATAAGATGTAGGTGGTATATGTCCGTCCGTCATCGTTGTGGAAACCATAACGGGGGGGGGGGGGGGGGAGAGGGGTTGTATTTCGCCGCGAAGGAGGGGGTTGTAGGCGCAAGGTTCATTCAGAAATGGGAAGTTGTCACAACGGGAACATTAACGGTGTTCTTTTTCGCCAAATAATGGGCATGAGAAGAAACTGTGATGCTTTCCCGAGATGAGATCTTCTAGATCCAGGCATTGTTCTTGGTTTTTTGAGGGATCACATATGAAGGAAGTTGTGACTGTTCAAAGCAAAAAAATCCTTGGGGTAAAAACTTGGGAGATATACTTCCCCTTTCGCGCTGCAGTTTTAACCAGGCTTAGATGTACTGCCATCTGATCCTTTCCTTACCATCAGTACATTCTCAAGGACAAATCTCATGCTGACCACCAAGATCTCAAAACCGACACCTGTTTTTCCTCGGCTAGAAATCTTAGGATCTCTACAAGTGGCAGTGCTTCTGATGAGCCTGTTCCAGCTCGTTTGCGCTCACCTATGAGACGGATTCTTCCCATATGCGTGGGCAATAGGCCCGCAGCTGTTATGTGCCTCCGCCGACACCAAGAAATGCAGGGGAATGGATTTGGAGGGTAGCAGTAGCTGTATAGTGTTTTATAACTTATTCATAGGCAGGTGACAAGCAGCGCGACTACCCCTACGTCAGATAAGCCCGCTTCACTTCTCTACGCCACCTCCCCCCTTTATGACTGGTGCGCTATTCGTCTCCACAGCTCCTGGATTGCGTACTTCGGCAGCTGCCAACACGGTCACTGGATCTCGGTTGGCCAAGGTATCGCCAGGAGCTACGATTACGTTAGCGGAACTACAACCAATATCGGAGGGCAGAAAGGGGCGTTTCCACGTACACCTGGCGCAAAAGCGGCCTTCCTATGTAGACCCGGCGACGGCTATGAGGCAGACGTAGGGATAACAGAGTCGGCGCGTAATATGCAGACGCCGTTGTTTTTGTAAACGCCCCTTGCTACCCTCTGCTATGGACGGAGCGCACCTTTCGTCGTTTCTAGCGGAAGAACAGCTAGAAAACACTCACCATCACGTTAGAAAAAAATAATCATAGGTTTATTAGGAGGCTAACAGACGTGACCAAATCAGACGCAACCCGTATTCAACATGTCAAAGTAATACGAAAATAAAGACGAAAAATTCAAATTACAATGTCTGAGATGGGAAGGGAGCACTCCATGTTATAATCAGTTTCTATACATATATACATCGATTTGTCAGTCATTCTACAAAGGCAGATAAACGTGATGACAAGCATACACATACAGAGTGATGTTGTCAGAACCAGATAACGACCCTGTCCGTAACAAGCAGTGCATACGGAAGGCGAGATTTAAATTACGAACATTGGCAAATTAGTAACAATTTGATTTTGCAGCACCTACTGGATGATATCGCAGAAAAAGTTCCGGGAAGTTCACATATCAAGAAATAAGACAACGATAACTAACGGTACTACAGTTGATATCTACGCAATCAAAGGGGGCGGTGTCAGAAAGCATGGAATGGGCCGATCCGCGGCGTTTCCCACCACAGGTTGCTTTCTTCCTGAATCTATCGCTATTGGCAGAAGAGGCATCCGGAGAGAGTTCCTGCCCCGTGACACTACCCTGACTGAATGCGGCGATACCCACTATAGGTCGCTTTATGATGCGTTCACTCTGCACTCGTTCTTACCAGCTTTGCAATGCTCGTGTTTGAGTGGGTATTGGTTCCACGCTCAATATTGATAATTCATATTTAAAATTATTCTAGGGTTACTTAACTATTATTTTTTCTTATAGTTACCATTACCCTTTAGACCATTAGCTTAGGTTAGGTACTCCATTACTCATCACAAGGCGCAGGCCCGAATTTTAAAAAATCATCTGGGAGCAGTGTACGCGAGAAAAAACCATTCTTGCAGATTTGATTATTAGACTGCTAAAGATTTAGACAGAAAACTGGAAAGGTGATCATGAAAAGGCGAAGACGGTATCCAGTTACTAGAAATGTACGAGTTATGCAGGAACTGTGACCGATTATCGACGCTCACAACAGACTAAAGAAGGGGAATCGGTGACCTCGTGGGCGCTAGGGAATATGGAAAAGAAGGACACAGGCCATGCCTCTGTGTCGCTATCCCTAACCATGGCTTATGCTTGAAGCGCAGACGACTAGACCTGTCGAAAGATAGTGTCGTAGAGAAGACTCCACTAAGCCTTGGTCTGGTGGACGGACGCAGAGGCACTAAGGAGTGCCTTATCCTACTAAGTTAGCCCCCCAGCATACCTTCCCGAAAGAGGGCATTAGAAAGGTTTAATTTCAGGGAAAGTACAACTCCCTTTCGCCAAACATAAGTACTTGTTGAAATGAGGGTAGAGAGGTCAGGACAACCGCGAACGTGGTAATCCCTATGAGCCAAGATAGGTCATACGGGATCCGCTCAAAGTCAGCCAAATGCCTGAACTTTTGCAACCTTGATTATTGGGACAGCATGAAAAGGGCTACTTGGGATTCAGTGGATGAGAGTAGAAATATCAGGTATGGTCCAAAGGTGCATAACTCGTCCTTTTTGAAAGTCACAGTCAAAAAAAGGGCCTGATGCTGCTTTTTAACAAGTGACTCTACGCTGCTAGATAGTTATTGCATTTTCTAGTGGTCCTGACTGGAATCCGGAAACAACGTTCCCAGCAGATTTTTTTGTCGCGATTCACTGCCGTTGAGTAATCTTACACCTGTTTGCTGTAATATGCGGATCGTTCAGAATGTTGACATGAAGAATATGGGACATCGGCAAGGGTCTGTGATGCGTATGTGGAATTCGATATCGAATAGTTGTTGTAATATGAGCAAATTCCCAGCTCAGTTGTCTCGTATGGTGGTGAATTATGTGAAACATCTGACGTCCAGTACGAATGAAGTGCCTGCAAATAATTCGTGAGAACCAGTAGAGAATTTTCCCGAGGAGTACTGTAGAACTAGGAATAAATGAAGTTTGAGTAACGTACCAACGGCAGGGAGTTAGGTGACGATCCATCGTTACCGCTGCTGTACGGTCACTTGACGGGAGAATCCAATACAGAAGCGATTGGTCGTGATGGAGCTCCAAAAGCAGCTCGAGGTGAAGGTGTTGAACCACATCCGTCGGAATGCGGAGGAGTGAGAGGTTGTGGTCGACGCTTCACAGGTATACGCTGAAAAGATGCTGTTCAATCCTGTATATGTAATGGTCCTGAACAGTCTAGGCTGATCGAATGACGGAGAAGGTATATCACTGGGCCCTTACGATGGTAGGGAACAGAGGCGCGCCAGTGAGAAAGGGCGCACATAGATGCTTTTGCCCACATGATCAGCTTCTACGACGCCTTCAAGGGCAATCTCCAAAAATATACCTTGACCTGGCGGGAACTGTTTTTCACGTTATTCTTCCCGTTCCCATTAGCCATTATGTGCAGAAGAACACTGCTTTTCTTCACATCAGGATTCAAACAGTTCTAGTAGATGTCGGAACTCATTCTCTTCCGCTATCTTGTAAGGTGTGCGATCCTGCAAAAAGGTAGTTTATCGACAGATACTTACTAATTTCCACTGATGATTTTCCAAGTCTCTGGAGTGTAAAGTGAAAGGCTTTCAGAGCGTTTCCAGACTTTTTCATTCATCTATGAGCTCTACTGTTTATTAGATTATGAGTTGTCTTTGACCGGTCAAGTTGTGAAACACCCAACAACAACAGTGATGTTTGGATAAAGTATTCACGTTGCCTATTTCGGTATACTGTAGCCGCCAATGTGTGTGCATCCTAACTGCGCGCCAGCACTAATGATTCGAATTCAAAAACATTATAGTTTTTGATTATCTACCTTAAGGAATACATTTTGCCAGCTCTCGAGATTATTAACATTCACTTTTTGTTTGTGGTTTCTCTGCTCTTTGTTTATGGTTGTGTGAAGCAATTTCACGAAGGAATCTGGTTGATAGAAGCATACTTGGCTAAAGTATTCAGCACGAAATCGAGAAAATGTTGGGTAAAACCAGTTGGATTATATTCATGAGTATTGTAGGGAGTGCTTACTTTTTTCCTCTAGTGAGCTTTTCTACGTTCTCCTCTAGTAAGTTTTGCCTGAGAACCTGTTCTTTTAGTCAAGACTTGTTTTATCGACTAGCTTCTTCAAAAATCTGTCTGTGCTCTCTTCGGCTTCCTACTTATTTTGTAAGTCGCTTTGAGTTTCCCAAGGCTTTGCTTTTGTGAGCTTTCTAATTTCAGTGCCTTTTTCGAAATATATTCTCATGTAAATAGTTACTATCCAGTATACTTGCTAATGTTCAATTGTAACGCTGTTCGATGCCTTCTCGCAACTGAATATGTGCACAACAGTTTGAGAATTCAGGCGTACTTAGGCTGCGTTTATACTTTGCGTCAGCGTTTTGAGCTACTAGGAAAGTATAGATATCTACTCAGCGTTTTGAGGTTTTGAGCGTAGGCAGGCGTTTTCTGCCGCTGCCCGAGGAACGCTCACAGCGCTGTCGTAGCTCAAGATGCTGACGCAATGTATGAACGCACTACCTTGAGTCAGGAGCTCTTCGAGTTTTTAGAAAACCCTTCAGCCTTCAGAAGCCCCCCCCCCCAGTGTTTATTGTTACCACTTTTGACACGTCTGAAATCTAATTATACAAAAGAGTTCCATGAATTAGTTTTCATTGTAATGGTTTGGTCTTGCCTACGCAGCAGACACACATCGCCCTTGCGCTGAGAGCAGAACAGTTCTTTTCATATCTGTGTGGGCTGGATAGGAGGTCTGCCAGTTTCAGGCTCGAAGAGGTTCAAAACTGCAGAAGGTTACGCGCTAGATTAAGAAGCTGTAGGAGTCTCGAATCTTCTTTGAGGGCTCAGATTGCTGTGCATATTTTGGCGCAAATTTATTCGTCAATGTTCTATTCTTTTAGAGCCATAACCTGAAAAGCTTCACACCTAGCGCTTGCTAAAGGCCAAACATGCATGGCACTGACAGGAAGAAGTCGGTAGGCGGACGATGGGGTGTGCCCAGCTCTACAATGAAGACACCAACAAGACCTAGATTCACTTTCGGAGGGACACAAATCAATTCGTCGTCGAAGAGGTACGTCAATCGTTCACACTGTATGTATACTTACATCACCGCAATCGGATCGCAATCGGCGGCTCGCACCTGCGGCGTTTCCATCATTGGTTGTCTCCTCCCTGAATCGACCTTTACTCGAACCACTGGTAGAGCAACGAGGCCCAACGCCCATTTGGACCGCGCCACCTCCGACAGTCCGCAGTGATAAGGTTTCTAAGTCGATCAGTTAATATAATAAATCATGTTCATTTCTGAGGGTCATGATCGCTTTTTTCGCCCGCGCACTTTTTCTTTAGCGACTATTGAATTATACGACCACAAATCCTCTTTCCTTGCTCGAAAATGGGGAGAAAAGTAACCCAATGTACCGTATCGAAATATAACAGAAAATCTTTTTTATTGCTTTGTTGAATCAAAGCCATCCTAACCTAGTTGAGCGCCGCTCTCATGACGATGAGGCTGTGCTGCGCGTGACTCTGCTTTACTGCGCTGAGCTAAGCCTAAGGGTGTGTCCATACTTTGCGTCAACGTTTTTAGCGTTCAGAAATGTATAAGTACCGGACCAGCGTTTTGAGCGTCCGCCAGCGTTTTGAGCATTCTGAACTACTAAGAAACCGTAGATATCGATTGTCGCTGAAAACACTGATAGACGCTCGAAGCGCTGCCGCAAAGTATGAACGCACTTCAAAAATTATCAAGTTAAGGCATGTCGTGCGTCGTTGCATGGCTTAATCAACTGTGTTACCTCTGAAAAAACATTTCGATTAATTTTAGTGACTTCAATGCAGGCGGACAACCTCGATTCAGTATTGGAGGAGCGGTACCGGCAAGTGCCCGTAGGCACTCTGTGTTCAGATCTCTTACGAGTAACTTCAAAGTGAGTACCAACTATATAGTGGCCTTAGCTTTAACTACGTTCCGAGTTTTGATTACAATAAAGGACTGGAGGGAATTAAAGGGAAGGTTTTAATCATAATAGAGGAAACTTATAGTGGAGGCACTGACCGCTCACTCGTCATTGCTGACCATCAGGGCCCTCTATGGCTCTGTTTCTTCACTCAAGTTCAAAAGGCTTCATTATTTATTCGCGTAGATAACAATCGTCGACATCACGATTTTACAGGATACACGGCCTTTGTCTTCGAAAGAGTATCAGAGCGAAATGGTTCGAACCATTTACGACTTCCTCCTAGAACACGATGGAGAGGTGGGTTATTTTAATGGGTTTTTTTGGATTTTTCTTTTACCGCGTGTCTGTTGCCAAAGCCTATAGGGCAGATAAATAGAGAACAGCAGCTCCCAAAGGAGGAGAGGACCATGTGGCAAGCCCAAGGTATGTACCTTTTCAAGAAGGCGGACTTCCGCAATGAGCGCACCTCCTCAACGTGCGAGGAAACTTTGAATCTTGAGTTCACAGTGCTCATGGAACCCTAAATAGACGAAAGGGCGTAGGCATTAGCAGAAAATTGGCGCAACTTTGTTGGATTGGATGGAGACTGAAGGATAGGTCTTACCTTGCCTTGAGGTAATGTGCCATCCACAAGCGAGATGCGGATCTGTTTTAAGGTTTAATCAGTAGCGAGCCACAGTTCGGTTTCCTGACATCTTGAAAATTTGTGTGTCCTCCTGTTGCAAAACCAAGTAACGCAGAGAGATAGAGGACAGCGGCTGCCAAAGCATCGAAACGTGCATGAAACATGTAGCGAGCCATGAAACGAGCTTTTCAAGGCGGGGAGGGGACTTCGGAGTTTGTGAACTACTTATAATCCGCGAAAAGCTGGAATGTGCGAAGTCGTGCCAACCGCAGAGTGGACGAGAGAGTGCAGAGAAAAAAAGAAGATCGACGCTGTTCAAAGGAAATGGGTTCAAGTTATCCGTATACCCCCATTTTTCACTGCGGGCATGTTTTACAGTTTGGACCGCAGCTGATGATGGGGTGTGTAAGCGCAGCTGGGTTCGGCACGCCGCCAAATCTATTGAGCACTAGTTGTTTAAAGGTGTAGGTGACAACAACTGGTGAAAAACGAATGATACGTTAAATAGGCTTTAAAAAACTGTGTCTGTTACATAACTTGTGTTGTATTACTGTTAGTAAAGATCTGAAGTGTTTTAGTTGCACCATGGATATTCCGAAGTTCCATGTTAACTGGGCTTCAAAAATCGTGAATCTGTTCAGTTTTATCTGCGAGTCTATCAGTTTACCATTTTTTTCTGTAGGTCAGACTTCAGAGCCACCGCTACAGCTTTTTTCGAGGGATATTTTTCAAAATTAACGCTCGTGTTGGCCACCCCACGATTCCTGATTTCTATCCGCTAAACCACCGTGTTGCGCGAGGTGTTGATTGACTGTGCACTTTGTTTCGACTGAGACTTCAACTAGGGAAGAGCTGTAAGTTTTGGAGTTCTGGTTTTGGTTGAGAATGCTGACAATGGTATGAGTCCTGCGGTAACGCCAAGATGAGAAAAAGTAGATGTGATAGTCTCGTCACCAACACCTGACTTTCCAATGTGATCAGAGGCCAATAAGAACGGTGGTATGGCTGCGTTTATACTTTGCGGCAGCGTAGCGTAGCGTAGCGCAGCGTAGCGTAGCGCTTCCAGCGTACGCCAGCGGCAGTGCCGAAGAGAGGATGCATATCGATCTAGCTTCACCAGCGTCACCAGCGGCACGCTGGCGTACGCTAGCGTACGCCAGCGGCACGCTAGCGCACGCTGGCGTAGCGAGGGCACGGGAAGCATAGCTATCGATCTAGCTTCACCAGCGTTTCTCCAGCGTTTTCCCAGCGCTTCCAGCGACGGGGCTAGAGAGGGGCTAGAGAGCACTGAACGGAGGAGAGTACTTTGTACTCTCCTCCGTCAGTGCTCTCTAGCCTCTATGCTTCCCATGCCCTCGCTACGCCAGCGTGCGCTAGCGTGCCGCTGGCGTACGCTAGCGTACGCCAGCGTGCCGCTGGTGACGCTGGTGAAGCTAGATCGATATGCATCCTCTCTTCGGCACTGCCGCTGGCGTACGCTGGAAGCGCTACGCTACGCTACGCTACGCTGCCGCAAAGTATAAACGCAGCCTTATGCTCCTTTCGCCATCGTTGTGGAAGCCACAACGGGGGGGGGTAGGGGGGGAGAGGGGTTGTATTTTGTCGCGAAGGAGGGGGTTGTAGGCGCAAGGTTCATCTAGAAATGGGAAGTTGTCACAATAGAAACATAACGGTGTTCTTTTTCGCCAAATAATGGGCATGAGAAGAAACTGTGATGCTTTCCCGAGATGAGATCTTCTAGATCCAGGCATTGTTCTTGGTTTTTTGAGGGATCACATATGAAGGAAGTTGTGACTGTTCAAAGCAAAAAAATCCTTGGGGTAAAAACTTAGGAGATATACTTCCCCTTTCGCGCTGCAGTTTTAACCAGGCTTAGATGTACTGCCATCTGATCCTTTCCTTACCATCAGTACATTCTCAAGGACAAATCTCATGCTGACCACCAAGATCTCAAAACCGACACCTGTTTTTCCTCGGCTAGAAATCTTAGGATCTCTACAAGTGGCAGTGCTTCTGATGAGCCTGTTCCAGCTCGTTTGCGCTCACCTATGAGACGGATTCTTCCCATATGCGTGGGCAATAGGCCCTGCAGCTGTTATGTGCCTCCGCCGACACCAAGAAATGCAGGGGAATGGATTTGGAGGGTAGCAGTAGCTGTATAGTGTTTTATAACTTATTCATAGGCAGGTGACAAGCAGCGCGACTACCCCTACGTCAGATAAGCCCGCTTCACTTCTCTACGCCACCTCCCCCCTTTATGACTGGTGCGCTATTCGTCTCCACAGCTCCTGGATTGCGTACTTCGGCAGCGCTGCCAACATGGTCACTGGATCTCGGTTGGCCAAGGTATCGCCAGGAGCTACGATTACGTTAGCGGAACTACAACCAATATCGGAGGGCAGAAAGGGGCGTTTCCACGTACACCTGGCGCAAAAGCGGCCTTCCTATGTAGACCCGGCGACGGCTATGAGGCAGACGTAGGGATAACAGAGTCGGCGCGTAATATGCAGACGCCGTAGTGTTTTGTAAACGCCCCTTGCTACCCTCTGCTATGGACGGAGCGCACCTTTCGTCGTTTCTAGCGGAAGAACAGCTAGAAAACACTCACCATCACGTTAGAAAAAAATAATCATAGGTTTATTAGGAGGCTAACAGACGTGACCAAATCAGACGCAACCCGTATTCAACATGTCAAAGTAATACGAAAATAAAGACGAAAAATTCAAATTACAATGTCTGAGATGGGAAGGGAGCACTCCATGTTATAATCAGTTTCTATACATATATACATCGATTTGTCAGTCATTCTACAAAGGCAGATAAACGTGATGACAAGCATACACATACAGAGTGATGTTGTCAGAACCAGATAACGACCCTGTCCGTAACAAGCAGTGCATACGGAAGGCGAGATTTAAATTACGAACATTGGCAAATTAGTAACAATTTGATTTTGCAGCACCTACTGGATGATATCGCAGAAAAAGTTCCGGGAAGTTCACATATCAAGAAATAAGACAACGATAACTAACGGTACTACAGTTGATATCTACGCAATCAAAGGGGGCGGTGTCAGAAAGCATGGAATGGGCCGATCCGCGGCGTTTCCCACCACTGGTTGCTTTCTTCCTGAATCTATCGCTATTGGCAGAAGAGGCATCCGGAGGAGAGTTCCTGCCCCCGTGACACTACCCTGACTGAATGCGGCGATACCCACTATAGGTCGCTTTATGATGCGTTCACTCACTCGTATTTGAGGATGCGGTATTGGTTTCACGCTCGATATTGATATTCATAATCATATTTAAAATTATCTAGGGTTACTTAACTATTATTTTTTCTTATAGTTACCATTACCCTTTAGACCATTAGCTTAGGTTAGGTACTCCATTACTCATCACAAGGCGCAGGCCCGAATTTTAAAAAATCATCTGGGAGCAGTGTACGCGAGAAAAAACCATTCTTGCAGATTTGATTATTAGACTGCTAAAGATTTAGACAGAAAACTGGAAAGGTGATCATGAAAAGGCGAAGACGGTATCCAGTTACTAGAAATGTACGAGTTATGCAGGAACTGTGACCGATTATCGACGCTCACAACAGACTAAAGAAGGGGAATCGGTGACCTCGTGGGCGCTAGGGAATATGGAAAAGAAGGACACAGGCCATGCCTCTGTGTCGCTATCCCTAACCATGGCTTATGCTTGAAGCGCAGACGACTAGACCTGTCGAAAGATAGTGTCGTAGAGAAGACTCCACTAAGCCTTGGTCTGGTGGACGGACGCAGAGGCACTAAGGAGTGCCTTATCCTACTAAGTTAGCCCCCCAGCATACCTTCCCGAAAGAGGGCATTAGAAAGGTTTAATTTCAGGGAAAGTACAACTCCCTTTCGCCAAACATAAGTACTTGTTGAAATGAGGGTAGAGAGGTCAGGACAACCGCGAACGTGGTAATCCCTATGAGCCAAGATAGGTCATACGGGATCCGCTCAAAGTCAGCCAAATGCCTGAACTTTTGCAACCTTGATTATTGGGACAGCATGAAAAGGGCTACTTGGGATTCAGTGGATGAGAGTAGAAATATCAGGTATGGTCCAAAGGTGCATAACTCGTCCTTTTCGGAAGTCACAGTCAAAAAAGGGCCCGATGTTGCTTTTCAACTAGACTCTACACTGTTAGATAGTTTTTGCATTTTCTAGTGGTCCTGACTGGAATCCGAAACAACGTTCCCAGCAGATTTTTTGTCGCGATTCACTGCCGTTGAGTAATCTTACACCTGTTTGCTGTAATATGCGGATCGTTCAGAATGTTGACATGAAGAATATGGGACATCGGCAAGGGTCTGTGATGCGTATGTGGAATTCGATATCGAATAGTTGTTGTAATATGAGCAAATTCCCAGCTCAGTTGTCTCGTATGGTGGTGAATTATGTGAAACATCTGACGTCCAGTACGAATGAAGTGCCTGCAAATAATTCGTGAGAACCAGTAGAGAATTTTCCCGAGGAGTACTGTAGAACTAGGAATAAATGAAGTTTGAGTAACGTACCAACGGCAGGGAGTTAGGTGACGATCCATCGTTACCGCTGCTGTGTACGGTCACTTGACGGGAGAATCCAATACCGAAGCGATTGGTCGTGATGGAGCTCCAAATGCAGCTCGAGGTGAAGGTGTTGAACCACATCCGTCGGAATGCGGAGGAGTGAGAGGTTGTGGTCGACGCTTCACAGGTATACGCTGAAAAGATGCTGTTCAATCCTGTATATGTATGCTCTAGCCGCAGTCTAGCTGCATCGATCTGACGGAGGATACTGCTGCCCTTACTTGCGTAGGGAACAGAGGGGCCCAGTGAAAAGGGCGGCCAGCCCACATATCAGCTTCGTACCAACCAAGGCAATTCTCCAAAAATATACCTTGACCTGGCGGGAACTGTTTTTCACGTTATTCTTCCCGTTCCCATTAGCCATTATGTGCAGAAGAACACTGCTTTTCTTCACATCAGGATTCAAACAGTTCTAGTAGATGTCGGAACTCATTCTCTTCCGCTATCTTGTAAGGTGTGCGATCCTGCAAAAAGGTAGTTTATCGACAGATACTTACTAATTTCCACTGATGATTTTCCAAGTCTCTGGAGTGTAAAGTGAAAGGCTTTCAGAGCGTTTCCAGACTTTTTCATTCATCTATGAGCTCTACTGTTTATTAGATTATGAGTTGTCTCTGACCGGTCAAGTTGTGAAACACCCAACAACAACAGTGATGTTTGGATAAAGTATTCACGTTGCCTATTTCGGTATACTGTAGCCGCCAATGTGTGTGCATCCTAACTGCGCGCCAGCACTAATGATTCGAATTCAAAAACATTATAGTTTTTGATTATCTACCTTAAGGAATACATTTTGCCAGCTCTCGAGATTATTAACATTTTTGTTTGTGGTTTCTCTGCTCTTTGTTTACGGTTGTGTGAAGCAATTTCACGAAGGAATTCTGGTTGATAGAAGCATACTTGGCTAAAGTATTCAGCAGGAAATCGAGAAAATGTTGGGTAAAACCAGTTGGATTATATTCATGAGTATTGTAGGGAGTGCTTGCTTTTTTCCTCTAGTGAGCTTTTCTACGTTCTCCTCTAGTAAGTTTTGCCTGAGAACCTGTTCTTTTAGTCAAAACTTGTTTTATCGACTAGCTTCTTCAAAAATCTGTCTGTGCTCTCTTCGGCTTCCTACTTATTTTGTAAGTCGCTTTGAGTTTCCCAAGGCTTTGCTTTTGTGAGCTTTCTAATTTCAGTGCCTTTTTCGAAATATATTCTCATGTAAATAGTTACTATCCAGTATACTTGCTAATGTTCAATTGTAACGCTGTTCGATGCCTTCTCGCAACTGAATATGTGCACAACAAGTTTGAGAATTCAAGGCGTACTTAGGCTGCGTTTATACTTTGCGTCAGCGTTTTGAGCTACTAGGAAAGTATAGATATCTACTCAGCGTTTTGAGGTTTTGAGCGTAGGCAGGCGTTTTCTGCCGCTGCCCGAGGAACGCTCACAGCGCTGTCGTAGCTCAAGATGCTGACGCAATGTATGAACGCACTACCCTTGAGTCAGGAGCTCTTCGAGTTTTTAGAAAACCCTTCAGCCTTCAGAAGCCCCCCAGTGTTTATTGTTACCACTTTTGACACGTCTGAAATCTAATTATACAAAAGAGTTCCATGAATTAGTTTTCATTGTAATGGTTTGGTCTTGCCTACGCAGCAGACACACATCGCCCTTGCGCTGAGAGCAGAACAGTTCTTTTCATATCTGTGTGGGCTGGATAGGAGGTCTGCCAGTTTCAGGCTCGAAGAGGTTCAAAACTGCAGAAGGTTACGCGCTAGATTAAGAAGCTGTAGGAGTCTCGAATCTTCTTTGAGGGCTCAGATTGCTGTGCATATTTTGGCGCAAATTTATTCGTCAATGTTCTATTCTTTCAGAGCCATAACCTGAAAAGCTTCACACCTAGCGCTTGCTAAAGGCCAAACATGCATGGCACTGACAGGAAGAAGTCGGTAGGCGGACGATGGGGTGTGCCCAGCTCTACAATGAAGACACCAACAAGACCTAGATTCACTTTCGGAGGGACACAAATCAATTCGTCGTCGAAGAGGTACGTCAATCGTTCACACTGTATGTATACTTACATCACCGCAATCGGATCGCAATCGGCGGCTCGCACCTGCGGCGTTTCCATCATTGGTTGTCTCCTCCCTGAATCGATCTTTACTCGATCGCCATTGGTAGAGCAACGAGGCCCAACGCCCATTTGGACCGCGCCACCTCCGACAGTCCGCAGTGATAAGGTTTCTAAGTCGATCAGTTAATATCATAAATTCATGCTGCTAACTGCTAAAGCTTTGTTCTTCTCCATACAATTAACCTACCATTAGGTGTTCATGCGTCACTAAGAGACTGGGAATTGGTCAAATACTGTGTAATTTACTATTGTTTTACACTCCGTGGCGCAAGGTATGAACGCAGCCGAAGGTGTGAGTGTGAAGACCGCACTAACTATCGTTCTCCCGTCCGTAATTCGTATATTTAGTTTAGAGTCAAGCACAGGTTTGAGAAATTTTTCAGGGCTCTCTATTCTGCCGTGATGAAAGATTGCAAAACTCTCCTAGAGGAAACTGAAGCGAAGTTTCTACAGAGAAAATGGGATCTCGAGCAAATGATAAGACAAGCGAATTCCCAGGCTGAGAACATAAGGTTACATTCCGGTTGTTGATTGGAATACACCGTAGCGGTCTACAAATGTTTTTTTTTCCAGGCAAGAGGATGCGGTTATCAGCGGTAAACTTCGTGAGAGGCAACGTATGGAATTAAGAGCCGAACGTCAACGCAAAAGAGATAGGGACGATTGGGAAAAGGATGTAATAGCCGCGGAGACAGAGATAGGTCAGCGCTTCATCAAGCTTTCATGTTACATTTAGTTTTTGCCGTCGATCATTCCATTCTTGATATGCGGCTCACACTCTACTCCAGTCAGAATGGCAGGGCGTACTGAATGCGATCTAGGAGCCTATACAACGACTTGCGGGGCAAACCCCCATAAGTCGGTGTCAGCTACAAATCTTCGTATCCTCTCATTCTGATCTGGTGCCAATTTATCGTTCCCGGAGGGTATAAGTCTTAATTAGCCTGGGCAGGAACCGATTCTAGATCTGACCTCGGTATCGCACGCGGGCGTGGTAAGCTTGCCACTTCCGTCACTCACTCCCGCCCCCTCCCAGTGGCTTGATAAGTGTAAAAATTGCTGGCCCCGATCGTCTATGGTGAATGGGTCCGCAGTCAAAGCAGGGGCCACTTTCTTTGGTCCAAAGTGCACGAGAACAGCCTAGAAGGTAGTAATACGAGAGTGCCGTCTCCATACTCCGCCCGTGCAACCGCATGGCAGACACGCGCCTCATCATAGCCAAATGAGCTACTTTCTGCGCTTTCTCGCTTCTGGTTACTCTCTACCCCTGAGTAAGTGTTTCGCTGCGAGTCCTCGGTATCTACGCAATTGCCGCAGCTCGAGAGTAGCGCAATTAGAGACGGTACTCGAGTATGACTACCCTACAGCCCCCTTTACGCGCAACTTGGACGGAGAAAGTGGCGTGCAGCTGCAGCTGCGGACCCATTCGCCATGCATAGGCCATCGTCCTCCGGGATGAGTGAACAAGTTCTCTTCACCTAAATACTTAAGTACCTAGTAATTAATAAGGTGGTGATGAAAGTAAGTTATTTTAGCGATGATAACGAGCGAATGAGGGTATTCCTCATTCTCTACTCACATTTCACCTTCGAAAAAAAGTTCCAGTACTTGTCAGTAAAAGACCTATGAATTCCAGATCGACTGGAAAATGAAAAAGAAGTCCTGGAAAACAAGCGTCATGAGATCAGCAGCTTGAAAAGGGTAACAATATTTTTTGTGTTCTTATTTTGAACCTCCGTGGCAACTGTTACACATTTTAATGGTTTAGCTAACTTGTTTCAGGATCTGGAAATTCTTCGGGCAGAAAACGTCGAATATTCGAAGGTACTAGCTGAGAAGCAGTTGAAGATCAGTGATGCGGTTCTGTCAAGATTCCATGTTATCGTCAGCGATCTGGACATGATGAAGGTGCCCTAGACAGTTTCCATGGCTCTTTACTTCATTATATGGACCCTTCATGGAGAGCTAGATTCATAGGGTTACATGTGACACACCTAAATCATTTGAGGACTTCCCACTTCTCTTTTTTCTTACCTCTCAGGCACGTTAGGTTTTGCAGGAGGCACGGGATTGGATGATGAGAACATTGGAGGAACTTCTCGCTATGGGCGATCTCATTCCGACTGATTCTCTTCTAGACGAAGGATTTGAAGAACATTAAGTTGGCATAATTTTCTATGTATCTTGGTTTTTTGACGTCAACCTCATACCACCAAGAGTACTACAATAAGCTCAACTGCCGCTGTTGAAAGCGATTAGTCACAGCGTTTTCGAAAAATCGTGCTAAATGAGAGAGATCGCAATGTATGTTTTTTTGAAGTGGAAGAAAAATTTCGGTGCGGCGTTGATTCACAGGCTACTCCTTTTGCAGTTCTACAGTTTCTCATGAAATGCTGCTATCTCGTGTAAATTAGTTGATTTGTTATTATCTATCACCTCTGTGTTCATTCACTTTTAATTGCTAATTATTTCTATGGTTCATTCCATTATTACATCTGGTTTATGCATGCTTTTACACCAATACCGAGCTAACTAAAATGTGTTCTGGAAGATTGTTGGTTAAATAGGCTTTAAAAAACTGTGTCTGTTACATAACTTGTGTTGTATTACTGTTAGTAAAGATCTGAAGTGTTTTAGTTGCACCATGGATATTCCGAAGTTCCATGTTAACTGGGCTTTCAAAAATCGTGAATCTGTTCAGTTTTATCTGCGAGTCTATCAGTTTACCATTTTTTTTCTGTAGGTCAGACTTCAGAGCCACCGCTACAGCTTTTTTCGAGGGATATTTTTCAAAATTAACGCTCGTGTTGGCCACCCCACGATTCCTGATTTCTATCCGCTAAACCACCGTGTTGCGCGAGGTGTTGATTGACTGTGCACTTTGTTTCGACTGAGACTTCAACTAGGGAAGAGCTGTAAGTTTGGAGTTCTGGTTTTGGTTGAGAATGCTGAGATGGGGCTGCGGCTGGACACGACTAGAGATGGTTAGGGATGAGGACGTCAGGACAACACAGATGACTACGATGCAGCTGAAGACTCGAGAGCAGCGAGTGCGATGATATAGGTACGTACTGGGGAGGCCCGAAGACCACCCAGTAAGGAAGGCGTTATAGTTCGAAACAGGGAAGGCGACCACGAGGAGTCTCAAAGAAAAGATG